CAATTTCCATATGAATGTAAATCTTAACATAATCATCTCAATGGCTAGCTGGCAGTCACCTTAACCAAAGGTGCCATGCATCATAATACTTTGCTGTGGCTCCTAGCAGGCAGAGATATTGGAATTGACATCAAAAGAATAATTAATAAAAAGGAAACACTTGTAAGCTGCATGTTCCTCAACATTAAAAATGTTTTCCTTACAAAAGACACTACTAAAAACCATTTACAGATGAACTAAATACTTGCAAACCTCATATCCAATAATGGACTAGAATATAAAAAGTATATAAAAACTTTCAAACTCAACAGTGAAAGATCAAACTACTTAACTAGAAAATAAAAAATAAATCAAAATACATCTCTTCAAAGAAGATATACAGACTTAAGCATATATACTTATGCTTAAGTAAGCATAAGAAAAGATGATCAATGTGATTAACATTCAGGAAAAGAAAATTAAAGCCACAGTGAGATATCACTATACACCTCTCAAAGAGCTAAAAATAAAAAGTGATCACAACATCAAGTGCTCATGAGAGTAAAAAGAAGCTGGCTTACTCACTTCAGTAAAATGAAACAATCACTGTGGAAAATCTCACAGTGATTTCTTTAAAACATCTACACTTATTACCCCAATAGAACACAGCAATTGCACTCCTGAATATTTCCCTCAGAGAAATGAGAGCTTATATTCACTAAAAGCTGTACAGGCAGGTGTACAGAAGCTTTATTTGAAATGAGCAAAGCCAGAAAACTACACAGATGTTTTTAATAGGCAAATGTTTAAATAGATGTGGTAATCCATATCAACAATAAAAATGAATTAACTATCTACTTATGACAACAATCCAGTGAATCACCAAGAAATTATTGTGAATGGAAAAGGCCAATTACAAAGTGTTACATACTATAAGATCCCACTTATGACATCACTGAAATGACAAAACTATAGAACTAGAACATAGATTAGTGTTGGGAGGGATGGGGCAAGAGTGTAATGGGTATGCTTATTTATAAAAGGAAATACGATGGCCATACATGGTGATGGAGAAGCTGTGCATCTTGAATGTATCGATTTCAATATCCTGGTATTGTCATTGACCTATAATTTTGCAAGATGTTACTCTTTGGTGGAAAGTGGGCAAGGGGTACCTAAAATCTTTATTATTTTTTTGTAGCTGCATATGAATTCACAATTGCCTCAAAATAAAATTTGAGTTATAAAGATGAAACTTCTATGTGATAGTTAAGTTCATTATTTCCATTCTAAAGATAGTCTGTTGCAGGAATATATGCATGAAAATGTATCAAATGTTCAATCATATCTTAATAACACATTAACAATTTCAACAGCAATGATCTGCTCTACCATTGGTCCCTTCCCCTGCAAAAAAAAAAAGTTTAATATATCCCTTGAGCTGAAGGGCAAATTAATAGATTAGAAAGTAAAGCAGAAATAATATAGAGAAAAAAAGGAGTAGTGAAAAAAGAGAAAAATATACAAAAGTGAGAGAGACACACAAAACACAAGAGACACTAGAATATGTGTTATAGTAGAGCCAAAAGTGGAAAAGGAAGTGTTGGACAAAAGTACTATTATAAGGCTTTTGAATAAAAATTTTCCAAAATCGATTAAAAACATTAAACTACAAGTTCAAGAAATTCTATTACAACCAAATAAGATAAATACTCAATGCATGTTAAGAGAAGTGTTTACTGTAATAGAAACAGGCAGCTACTTTATAAAGTGATTTTTTAAAAGAAATGGGCTTAGTAAGCTAGTCAGAATAGTAAGGGAAAAAAAAAACTAATACAGTATTAAAGTATCAGATACTAAAACAAATTACAAAGTTAAAGTAATTAAGGCCCTGACATGCTGAAATATGAATAAATAAATAGATTAGCTGAATATAATTAAAACAAAACTAAATCTGAGTAGTTTATTAGATATTTACAGTGATTTAAATGCAGCAACTGAAGAGTTATGGGGGTGGAAGATATTCAACAAATGACTAAGACAACTCTGTAGATACCTGGGGAAACATTGAAGTTATACCTTACAATTTACAACCAAATAAATTCCACATACATCAAAATATAAGTAAAAATATAGTAGTATAATCTCACATATAAAACTCTTTTACTCAAACTTACTCAAAAATACTGAATCTATGTGGCATAAACTATCACAAACCCAAAATACAAACTAGAAACACATAACTGTAGCTCATATCTTACAAAATCTGCCTCCACATCATGTTTGTGCACACAGTATCAGATAACAGGGTCGGTTGCTAAAAGAGACTCGCCTGACTCAGAATGAGAGCATTTATAAATCTAGTTTATTATAAGGTAAGGGCACAACTTAACAACATCACAAAAGTAAACATATAGATTAGCCAAAGTCTGTTTCATCAGAAGGATCCCGGAGAGGTGGCACCTTTTCCTGACTCTAAAAGTGTCCTGTGAGGACACAGCTTCTCTCCTGGATCTGAAATCATTGACATGTATATAGGGTATGTTGGTCCTAAGGAGCTCAAAATGGAGCCTCACTTGGGGATTATTATATTTTGCTGATCACAAAGGCAAAACTTTGCTGAGGCTAAGTAACCTGGCTCAGCACCACAATTCTCTCATGGTCTCATTATAACCAAGGACAAATCACATATTATACTGTCATCAATAAACAATGCTGACAAGATAGTATAATCTGGTCCCCTAATTCCTGGATTCTTGGTTATAAAAATACACTATTAATCAGTGTGTCACATGCCTTTTCTGAAGGTCAGTGCCATTGTGAACTTAGGCACATTAAACTCTGCTTAGGCTGATTTCGAGCTTGCTGGAACTATTTCTCAGAGCACAATTAAAAAAAAAAAAAAAGACTAGAAACTCAACAGGGAGAAAATCACAAAGACTATAATCATACATTTCATACAAAGGAAAATACATCTGACTTTATGCATGTAAAAAGAACTTTAACTTCAAACATAAAGAGATAACTGCACATTTACATATTTCTATACATGTGTAAATTCATAATATGGATGGTAATTTGGAAATATCTAATACAATTTAAATGTCCACAAATTTTGACCCTATCTTAAAAATACACTTGTACATGTAAAGTGATGTTAAGATTAAGATTCTTTATGCAATAATGCTTTTTGCCATACAAGAAAAATTACAAATCACCTAAAAGGCAATAGAGAAATAGGACACATTCACATGATGGAATCTTATAGGTCTGATAAAAGAGTAACAGAAAGTTCTTGATGTGCCATTATAAAAATAGGACCAAAATATATTTAAGTTCTTACCTTAAGTACATATATGAGTGCACATATAGTGCGACGCTACTACATCGTGTACAATCAAAGAAATAAAAAGTTGTGTTGCAATTGTGTACAATGAATCAAAATGCATTCTATTGTCATATGTACCTAATTAAAATGATTAAATTTTAAAAAATATATATTTAAAGTAATAAAAGGTACAACATCATGTAAATAGATTGTCACCATTTGTATAAAGGGGAGAAGAGTATTTTATATTCATTGGCTTGTCAAATTAAAAATATCTTTGGAAAAATAAAGAAGAAATTGATAAACTCATCTGCTCTTAGTGAAACTGGGTAGTTTAAAAAAACATGGATACCAATATGACTTTTTGCTCTGTATCCCTTGAAACATTTGATTCTTTTTATAGTAATTACTTAATCATAGTAAGTGTACTAATTAATGGGTTTCACTGTGGCATTTCCATGAGTGCACATATTATGCTTTGATTATATTCACTCTCCCTACTACTCTTTCTTTTCCTTCCTTCTGTTTCATTTTACCTTATCCCTCCACTTCTTCAGTAATCTATCTTCTATTTTCTTGTCATTTTTGTTTATTTCTACATATGAGAGAAAACAAGGTATACTTAATCTTTTTGTGTCTAGCTAATTTTAACATTTGATTCTTGAAAAATGTAAATTTCAAATTTTTCAAAAACCTAAAATAATGCATATTCAAGTCTCAAAACTGATCAGTAATTTAGAGCTTCCTTTAGTCTGTGTTGAAGGATTACTTGGTTATAAGATGACAGTATTTTGGTAGGAATGAGTATTCTTATCTGCAGTTTTCCAGGTATCTACCATCTCAATGCAGCAGCAAGAAAAACTCATCCACCAGGAGAGAGCATTGTTGAACTTTACGCAATGGAAGAAAAACCATGACCTTCAGATGAAATATTGTCAAACCTTGATGCAAAACTCTTTCAGTTTGGGTAATTGATATAAGACCAGTTATTTTCAGTAGAAATCCAAACGCTTGCACTAACTCCTCAGAAAAAAACAATGATATATTTTATTCTCTGCAAAATTGTTCTTCAGAATTTTATAGTAGGGGGACATGGTTTTGATGCTTTTTACTCTTATCTACTCCAATAGTATAGGGGAAACACTAAGTTTTTAAAAAGAAAATGCAGCTAAACAATAGTTTTAGAAATTTAAGTATCTTTTCTCCTGTAAAACTGTGCCAGATCTCTTGGTCAAATTTTTGCTCTTTGTTCTACTTTATGCAGTTGATCTTCTTTTTGTGAATACGTTCTTTCTTAAAACAAATTCCTTCAAACATTGAATACTAATGCTTAACTTTTAGTTACGTCGAAGTCCTAAAATAAGCATACTGTTCTTCATTTACATCCTTCTTCCATTTTCTTCACCTACATGTTTTCAAATCATTCCTGAAGTTGTACTGTTTGTTCTGTCTGCTACACATGAAATATTTCTTGCTTGTCTCTCAGAATCTGAACATGAACTCAAGGCTTACTATTCAATTCATCTAGTTATTCAGTACACTTCAGGTTAAATTTGAGCAGTAAGATTAACAGACCTGAGATAATAAGTGAACAAGAAAAGATTGTAAATATTGTAAATTCAAAGAAAGGAAAAGATTGATAAAACTGAGAAAATCATATCAATTTTTATAGAAGAGGAAATATTTGGGTAAAAATGTCTCCAAATTACTAAATAAACCAACTCTTAGAGACCTATTGTAGGTCAAAAGTATTATATAAATTTTACAGTTCTCAGTATCAGAAAAACTGGAATTTCTAAGTGCTACACATGGGAATGGCTAAGTGCTGCACATGGTTAGAGTGTTTAGTTTTCCTGGAGGTGACAGAGGGTTAGTCTAGGGAGATATTCTACTAATTTTTACAGTGGTGACAATAATGTGAAATGTTTCTATTCAAAGCCTGTGACTGCAGTCCTTGTCCAGAAAACTGGATTCAGAATGGAAAGAGTTGTTACTATGTCTCTGATATTTGGAAAAGTTGGCCAGCCAGCAAAGAGGCTTGTTTGAAAGAGGGCTCCAGTCTTCTACAAATAGACAACGAAGAAGAAATGGTAAATTCAGCTTTATGGTTACATGTCACTCTGAAAATACTATGTTACTTATTAAAAGAAAGAATATTCTCCTAAGATAGAATTCTTTAATATTTATAAAAGTTTATAAAATTTATAAAAATAAATACTTATAAAAATAAATTTATAAAAATAAATACTTAAAATATATAAAGTAGGAATTACTATGCTTTATTCTCCTTTTAATGGGAGAAGCAAAAATCAGGTTGCTTTTCCAGAAGTCAAGGAGAGTATATTATTTCTATGTCTTTGGTTAATGAAAAAGAAAAGGAAAAGACTAGACCATAAGAAAAACAGTCTTCCTTGACATGTAGCCCACTTCAACATACACATACATGATTATTGCATATATTTTCCAATGTATTTTTCCATGCTATAAATAGAATAATCTGGAAAACCAGAAGTATAAAAAACTGAGGTGATGTCATGAAATGAATAGGTCTAATAAAACCAAGTATTTGGTAAATGAAATGTTAAATTGGTAGTAAACATAGTTCAGTAATATTTTAACAAGTGAACAAGATATTTCTCTAAAATTATTCTACACATAAATATATATGAAACAGAATGCATAATTATAACATATCTTTTACTACATTAAAAGCATATTCTGGCTATATTCAGTAATTAGTTGAAGCTCATTTCTATAAGAATAGTGAGAAAACAATGTGTTAAGGATATATGGTAAGCTAGGAAGGCTTGAACTATTATAATTATGGGTATACAAAATTATTTACTGTGTAAATTTGATGGTGAAAGTTACAAATGTTTTTTAACAAAATATATTTGCAGTTACATTGCTTCTGGAATCTCCTAAACTATTGGTAATACTGAAGTATACTAGGAAAGAGTGATCCACGTGTCATATGATATAAAAAATCTTTTTACGTCTGCTTATGAGGGGTCAGTATAACCTACCCCCCTTCCTTTTTTTTGTTGACATCTATTGTCAGACTCTGAATCCATTCATTAAAATTACTTTAATATCAAATGCCTTTTTCCCATTGTCTTTAATACTACATTGGTCATACAGAATCAGAAGAAAAATCTATAAGATGTATCCCCACTTTTTTGTTTGTTTGTTTTGTTTTTTTAAATAACCCCCTCTCTTTTTCTTCAGCACTAAAGTTACCATTTATTTCCAGCTAGGCAAAATGTCAGAATTCATACTTCATGATAGTTTTATTCGTGGTTTACTTTTTTCTTGGTTCACGTTCAGATCTTGTCTCTCATAGGTTTTTATCACCAAAAACTTGCAGAAGCTCAAAGCAGGCTATGAGTACTGGGTGGAAATATCTCAGGATGGACTTCAGGCACCTTTGCTTTGGCAAGATGGCTCCTCTCCTTCCCCCGACCTGTAAGTGTCAGCAGGAAATGTTGTGAGAATAACTAGAAAGATGAGGCAATTCAAAGGTTAATTTTATTGTGCACACTGGATTCCCTTCAGGGGACATATCAGCATTTCAACATCACAGGCTCCTGATTGAAATTAAAGCTAATTCATGAAGAGGTAGTTTCACAGCTTCTAAATCTTCTTCTCAGCCCTCCGAACATTATCCTACAGAAAATAAACCAAAATAGAGTGTCTAAATGAGCAATATAACATAATTATCAAGTTCTCTGTATCATTTAATGTTTAGAGAGCACTAAGGGAAACAGATTGTAATAATTATTAAGCAATTTTCATATTGAACTTTTCAGATAGAACTAGAGAGACTGGTGAGCAGAATCAAGTACCCTACTACCTTGAGAATTAAGAGTCAGGAGACATATACTATCTACCACCTATCTTTGTGTATACATGGCTTCCTTTTCTTCATAAACTGTTAAAATTACATTAACATATTTTTATGGAGACAAAACTGCTGCTGTTGAAGGAGGAGGATAAAACCACCACAGGAGGGTGCCATATTAAAACAAAAAGGCCTCTCTCATGTGCTAACCTCAAAAGCATCCTTGTCACACTCCCATCTAACCTCAGATATGCTGACTTGCCTTTCCAGGTTACCAACAAAGAGACCCCAGTCAACCAACCAGCTCTGCAGATTCCTCAAAGACAATGTCCTTTCGTCAGATAACTGTAACAACTGGAAATATTTTATCTGTGAGAAGTGCTCATTAAGATGCTCTATCTGAAAGAAATTGCTCAAAAAGATCTATAACGCTGGTATTTGAAACAGGCCATTGAAAAACCTGCCACAAAAAGACTAAGAGCAAATACAGAAGTAAACCAGGGTATGGGCTTTGAAACCAGCTTCCTGGAACCATCAACCCTTCCTTTCATATTTTCACTTGGAAATGTCTTCAACAATTTGAAGATTTCAGTTGACATTGTTCAAATTGCCAATAAATTGATTGGAACCACAGAGGACCAGAAACTGATGCTCTGTGAACAAAGAACATAATTTCCTTCCCTCCCTCCCTCTTTCTCTTTTCTTCCTTCCCTTCCCTTCCCTTCTCCTCTTTTTTCCTCTCCTCTCCTCTCCTCTCAGGGCCATTGAGAAAATAAAATTTGTCTGTAAATTGTCAGTGACTACTTGGAGAGAATATGTTTGAAAGTCAATTAATCCTCTTCAAATAAAATTCTCTTCTATATTCAATCTCCTCTCCTCTCCTTTCCTCT